CTCTCTCTCTCTCTCTCTCTCTCGGTTGAGCGATTAACTTGACTTACGAACCCTCATGTGTGAGTAAAGTCCTAGTAATAATTACTCATGTGCACTGCAGCTTTATCCCGCTAGATGTCGCTTAAAGACCGTTACTAGTATCTTTGATATATAGAAAATAGTTCATCAAGTTCCCCGAGTTGTACGATGACCCTTTCGTGAAGTTATTACAACTCTATAAACATACATCCCCTGCAATGCACAAGGGCATTGCCGGATTGGTGTAGCTTGACCTCCTTTGACCCCAATCATCTGGCCCAAGTTTACCCAACTTGAAATCGGACACTTCCGGTTCCATCCGCTGCAAACGTGGAAGATGGCGAGCCCACGGTCACAACATGTCCTCAGACCCTCCGTCCTGGCCTTCCTCCTGTTGCTTGTAGGTTCCTCCATGGCAGGGGAGATCAAGTGGGACTCGGAGCGGCTAAAGAAGATGGCAAGCGGCGCGAAGGTCCAGACCCTGAAAATGCCGAGGCGTTGCGACCGGCGCGTCGGTGCCCACGATAAAGTCGTCTTTCACTACAACAGGATGATGTCTACCGGGGAGAAGATAGACTCAAGGTGCTCTAGGAACTACTGACTACCAATTGATAAACGTTTTCTGTCTGTACACCGGAGTAACAGTGCATAATCCGGGACTTTGTGTATAAAATATTACAGAGATAACGGTCTCAAGCTGCGGCAATGACATGCATAGACGGTTGTAGCCTCGTCCCCAGTCTCTCCCAAGGGTGTTAACTCGAATTCCTTGGCAATTTATCAGGCAATTTACAAAGTTCTATTTATATCTCCGTCTGCCCAACTTAGTCCTCCCTAACGATTTTGCCTGCCTGCAGACAGGCATTTCAGTGGGCTGAGACAGAATTTCCTTGGCCTGCGCCTGGTAACAAGATTATCTGGCGTTCATAACACTGATTTACACAAATTATTGTTGTGATGAACCTCAGCACACATTTTTGTTTGTCTCCTCCATTGGCCTAGTCTATAACCACGTAAAGTAACATCTGAGCACATATTCAGATTGTACATGTAGTAAAAGTAGAACCGAAAAAGAAGTCTGTCACCAGTCTGTCAAAAGTGACATTTAAATGCCCTGTCCCTTCCAGCCGTGACAGGGGAGAACCAATGTCGTTCGTGGTGGGGTGGGGGAAGGCGTCCAAGGAATGGGAAGACGCCGTGAACAACATGTGCATAGGAGAAGTCAGACAGGTAGAGATGCCTGGAGAAGGTAGGGCATTCACCCATGCACCAACAATTTAATTGTAAACAGCTACAGTCCAGTATTGCATGTATTGTACAGTACCGTTCGCGTTATAGTTAACCGGGTACCCCGTTACTAACGAGTTATTTTTTCGTCAGAAAATGGTTAGAAAATCGTCAGTATTTGGTTAGATTTTCGTCAGAAAATGGTTAGAAAATCGTCAGAAATTATTTCTAACGCGTTACCGTTTGCGTTAATGTGATAGGGTCGGATTTCATGTTTGTTTTGCGCGCCGACAAGACAATAGCAATTTGCCACCTCCTGGGGCGTCCGCTAATGTGTTGCGATGTTGCCCCTTGAAAAATAACAGCACCAGAGGCAAGTGGACATGTGATTCGTAAAATAACTTTGTGGTTTATCCATGTGTCGACTGTGTGAAGCGAATTGTGCTATCTTTTAATGCTATTCTATAGTTATTTCTAGCGGAAAATTACGTTGTGTAATACAATGTATGTCAACAAAGTGTAGCAGTGGGCAGACGATGTCTTGTACATTTTGTACCAGCGGCGGCCTACCGCTCTCACAGGACGTCATGGGACGTGACGAAACAAGAAATATCTGCCGTAGAAGAAATATAAATCGGTAACTCATGCCTTAAATTCACGGCGGTTTTTGACACAAAAGAAAAATTATTATAATTTTTGTAAGGCGCGCGGCTTACTAGTACTAGCGGCTTTAATACTCACGGTAAAATGTACCGTCACTCCCGGCGCAAGGACTCGGTTCGCCAGCTGAGGACTTTCCACAACCATGATGATATCATAGGTAATAAAGGAATATATAATAGATCTATCATGTGGAAATGATAATTGTAATACATGGTTCTATTTAATAGCGGTAGTTTCGTTTCTTATTTTGAGGGGGGAAACTGTCAAAAATCGAGGGAACGCAAACTGAGATCGGCTCACTTCCGGGTGCATAACGCCAAAATTTCTCGACGATTATATAAAAATGACCACTCATTTGCCGCCTACGGTAGCGTGTACATGGTAGTGCGATCATATCGTGCCAAAGTCAGCGTCAAACGTCAGAAAATCCCCGTAAAAATATAGTTGCAAAACACATTTCCCGCGCACTCAGGGCCGGTCGCCCTGGCCGCTGCAGCATACTCATTATAATATGCAAGTAGCTACGCTCTGATTGGTTCACCTTAGATGACCTGCGCTGTGATTGGCTAGAACGAAGCCCGTTGCATGCTGGGGCGCCCTTCCCCGCGCGAAATGATCTCGAGAGAGCCACATTTACGCTGGTTTCTACCTTATTTCTACGACTAATTAGCAACATCCTAGTGACGAAATGCGTACTCAAAAGAATTTTCGGGAAAAAAATATATGTACATGTGGATTTGTGGTGCCTTTGGCGTAATTTTGTTGGTCACATACAACGTAATGTAACACGGAAGTGCATGGAGTCGGAGTGGCGGCACGGCTTTCCGTCCCACTCTAAACAAAACTCCAAGGACATAACAAAACTCCCCAAAACTGGTCAATAATTAGCCATAAAAATGTTGGTGGGCACGTGTAAAATATGCTGCCTTTTTTCGAGTGTTATAGGAATTTTCCACGATGTTTTTGCACATCCCTAACGTTACCTCACGCCCGCCGCCTATTATGTACGGCGGACCGGGGCATTTATAACTTCAGATCATCTACATTGTAGGTTTGCTTATTCGGTGGTAAAATAAGTTAACAGAGAAAAACAGCAAACCAAAGTTGACAAACTATAGAAACGCTTGCCTGGGCAACAGTGACAAAAGAAAATGTCTATCTAATTGAATTGCGCCGGTGATCGTAAAACGTTTTAAACGTTACAATATAGTAAAATGCAGGCTAGATCAACGTTCCTTCCGCTGTTCCAGCGGTGTGTATCGGTAATTTCCCGCCCCGCATGAGGTAAATTAGTACTCCTCCCATTATTCTGTGATGTTACCGCGGCCTGCATATGAATGCAGAAGTCTAACGGAAAAGTAACGGAAAAGTAACGGAAAACTTACGCGAAAGTTACGGAAAACTTACGGAAAAGTAACGGAAAAGTAACGGAAAAAAAACGCGTTAGTAACGGCCGTTAGGGTAACTATAACGCGAACGGTACTGTAGTATTAGGTAATTAATGACTTTACAGATAAAGGGATTGGGTTTGGTATTGGCTACATGGTCTTATGCAGCTTGTACTTACTGTACAAAACTCAGGTGTATTATGCCTAAAGGTGGTTTCCTGTACTGTACTCAAATTCCGTGGAATTAGATCACTTGCTGTGTCAATATGTTAACAATTGAATTAATTGTCATGTGTATGTTATAACATGTGTATGTTATGTAGTCCCATAGATGTACATGTATACTTACGTTTTTGTGTCATATCTGAAGATGGAATGAAAACTATAGTAGAGGTGGACCTGATCGACATTGAGGCTCCGCCGCCAGTTCCTAATGTCTTCAAAATCATCGACAAGAACAACGACAATCAGCTGACCAAGGAAGAGGTTAGAACATAACATTTACATGGTTCCAACTTGTGGCAAATATGATTTAACAAGTTGTATTGAGAAAGCTCCCAGGTTCTTGGCAAGTCTTTTAGGATCTTTATTAGATGGTGCACTGCACTGTACATGTACATATATGATCTGGACAGGAGTATTTTACTATGTTGCATTGGTAGAGATTTGCACTCGAAGTGTTTGTGCTCTTGCTGCCTAGACTAGTCTGATAAAATAAGCAACGAGCAAATAAACAATATTTTTTACTTAGGTCACATCTTACCTGACAGGCAGGATGGGGCTGGAGAAAGCTGAGGAAAAAGACTTTATCAAAAAAGTCTTCAAGGAAGAAGACAAGGACAATAATGGTGTCATCACTGTGGAGGAGTTTTCTGGTCCCAAACAGTCGCATACAGAGTTATAACAAAGGGCTTGTGTCTATGGACTATCGTATCTAAAACTATCTGACAATTTCTGTGATATTAGAAACACTTACTTGTGTTATCCTGAATATTTTGTGGTAAATACCTGTGTTGTGTGTCTTTAGGTATACATATGTATGTACGAGTAGTCTCATTCAATGGTATGCATGATTTGTCCAGAAAATCACCCTAAAAGTTCTTGAACAGAAGAGAACATAGCTGATGTTTTGATGTAGGAGTGGGTGCAATATGAAGTCTGTGTAATGCAGAGGTAATCATCTAAACGGGCTACCATTACAATGTACCGCACATGAACATTTTTAAAGCTATATACATGTGTAAAAATATGTCCAGTTTGCATGGAACATAGTAAATTGTGGACGTCCATTTATCTTGGTGCTACAATGTATTAGTAAAATTCCAGAAAACAGTTACTCAAGCAACTGGATAGATTTCAAAATCTATCCATTTTTTTCTACAGTAATCGTTTTCTTGTGTATCTCATAATATGGATGTCTAACCTTCATCGACAGATACTATAGATAAATGATATAAACAACGTGCCAATATTTCTAATGATTGATTGTGGGTTTGGTGCAATTCATCTCTCAATGCAGTACCAATGTGATGTGCAGTGCCAATGTGATGTAAACTTTGTCAGTGTGTATAATCAGTAACAAGAAATACTTGTCACTCTCAGGGCACTCAAGAATTAACCTCCATACAGAGCTAACCAATTTTCAAGCCATATATGTAGTACATGTATTTGGTTGAATCAGTAGCAAGTTTATTTTTGTAAGTCTGAATAAACTGCTTTTGTATTAAAGTCTGTCTGTGTCTCATTAGACTGCCCTTCTGTAGTAATCTGTACTGTTGCTACTGTGATGTGAAACAACAGGAAACTGTGATGAGTGCATGGGGCAACAGCAAACATTTGTCTAGTCAAAGGAATGTAACGAGAGAACAGACAGCTTCTGAGTCATTGAAAACAAAGGTTTTCATCTGTTGCTGTCTCTACACTTGGAATGGCTACAGCTTTTGTATTGAATATCCATTTATCATTCAAAAGTTATAAAATTTACTGGTTGAGCTGTTATATTTTGTTTGATTGATTCCTATTGCACTGCCCAAATTTGGACATGCCACCAATTTCTGTTCAAGGTTATAACAGTTACTTACAGTAGCTGCTATTGTCATGTCCCAGTTGATCAACCTATACATGTAAGCCTGTACCACATCCTTACAATAACACTGAGTTTACAAATGTTAGCCATTGCTTAAATTGTGTTTTGTAGAAGAACTTACATTTAATTTTATACCTAAGGAATTGAAGCCCATGCAGCCAGGAAACTGATTTGAGAAAAGGTTTATTTCCCTGGGAAAAAGGAAAAATTCTCTACAGAAACTTCTCATCACAGCAGTCTGTCTTCAACATGATTTTGCACAACATTCAACAGAACTCAGCTAGCCCTATTTACAACTCACAACTTCTGCTGATCACAGAAGTATATCCGTCATGAAGACAAGTAAAACAATATTCTCAGAAAAACCTACCCACAGTTTTTACCATAGAACCCAAAGCACTGTTACCCATCAGACTATCTTTGCTGTAAGTCAACGCCAATGATTATTGAGAAGACTAGAACAGTAAATTGCATCCATGTAAGGTTCTACAATCACTTCAACTCTTTACTAAACATTGCTGTAATGTCCTTTAATTTGCTATAGTCTATATCATGTGTAGGTTTCCACTTGATATGGTATCATGTAACATAATAACCAAGTCATGATTAGGATATGTCACCATAAACTACTAGTATATGTACATGTACTTAGAACAAAGCGGAGATATTGTATCTAACAATGACAACATGCCTAAGCGCAAATCTGTTGACTATACGTTCCTTTTTTTTGATGGAACGCAATTGTTGAAGTAAAACAGAAGAGATGCATACACATTGCCAGGCTGTTGCAAAAGCTAACACAGCAAAAATAGGATGTAAATCTTATTACATCCTGGCTAGTTTTGAAGGAATGCATTTTGTAACTTTTGTTCCCTACTACATTTACATTTGTACATGTATTTCAAATATACATGAGTTCAGCTTGGTCAGAAACATTGAATGCTTCCTCTGCTTATAGCTGAGATTCTATGCACCATAAAAAAAACAAAAGAAAACCCTCAGTAGAGGCAACTGTGGTGATTTGCAGAACACACCATATAACCAGTTTCAGCAGCATACCTTAATACAGCAGCACACCAAAAATAAAATCGCTTCCACCTCAATGTCTCCATATTAAAAATGAGAAATAAAAAGCAACAAGAAATGGATAAATGTACCTCTACACTGAGAAGCTTTAACAATATTCATGACATTCATTATTCCTCGCTAAACAGTATTACACATGTACAATGTAAAACTTAGCCCTTCATGGTTTGATCTTTCTAGCAGAAATACTTGCTATAATAGACACTTTGGTGGTTTGCCCTGTGTTGTAAGACAGGTGACTGTGCATGGCTAACTCCTTATTGCTATAGGTTGCTTACTAGTATTCATTGGTAAAATTTTCTCTCTTGATTTACCTGGAATGGTACTGACCACTGTGTATAACATTGACAGCACCTTTTTGTTGCTTAAACCAAAATCTAGAACATAAGTTATAAAAACAAAAATATTGCTCCTCTTGCATCTTTTGCACATGTTGCTACCAATTTCTGTAATCCTAGAAAAACGTTGCAAAACATCTTGTTCTCATATGCACCACACTGTCAATGCTATGGATAATGGCTTTCCTTTCATGCTAAAACAAAATGTATCTAATAATTTTACTAGTCAGCAGCTAGTTAGATAGACCTTAAACTTAAAGCACCACCATAGGATGTTACGTGTATGTCAAATAACTTTTAGTACTTATCCCAGCAGAACATACTTTCCGGATTTTCCACATGTAAAAGTCACATTGCTGTTAGTGTTAAGACAACAAACAAGCCACAGGACTACAGGCTCTTCTGAACAAGGCACACATTTTACTTTCTGTTCCTTGCCTTCACTCATGGTCTTCCCTCCTATTTAACACTTCTACAAGACAAAATTTATTCTATAGGACAAAACTAAGGCACACACTGACTCCTTGCCACCAGCATCTATTGTACAAGCCAGCTGCATTTACAGTCTACTAAAAGTTATAACATGCCCACTAATTTGTGGCTCACGCCTCTAGCTACTTCACACCTTCATGTACTGTGTGAGACAATTCAGAAATCAATATACATGTATTACCATAGAGAGTTGGGAATCCCTACAACTAGCAGCTCAATGACTCTGATTGTAAACATTAAGAACCACAGCCCGAGTATGGGTTTTAGTTGTCTCCGTTTTTTGAGGGACATAAACAATTACTGTTGGCAGTGGGAGAGAAAGCAACATGACTGCCAAGATGGATATCATACTAGATCTAGTGCTTCCTTTGAGAATGTTACCTTGCTATATTGAGGATGTGTAACCTTGATTTTGTGCAGCCTCTAGATATGACCCTGATATCCAACATATCTTTCAAACTTAGCAGCACCAAGGGAAAAAATGTACTTGATCATGTCCTTTAAATTAAGTTTCTACAAAATTAACTGATATTTGGAACGTTTGCAAGCTTTGCTGATATGTCCAGCGCCCAGGAATGATTTCACCTTCCTAATAAGGTAGACATGGTTGTTCTGATTGACAGGTTAGCTGGATGTTTGATTGGCTAGTTGTTGTGACTGACAGGTTAGCTAACTGTTTGATTGGCTGGTTTGTGTTCCAGGGTTTGCCTGATATATGATTGGCTGGTTGATGTGATTGACAGGATAGCTAGCTGTTTGATTGGCTGGTTGTGGTGACTGACAGGTTAGCTAGCTGTCTGATTGGCTGGTTTGTATCCCAGGGTTTCCCTGACAGCGTTGGCCAGATCGTGGAGTTCTACCTCCTTCAGGGCGGACACCAGTCTTTTCGCCGTGGCGGTGCTCCGCCGCCGCCTCCTCCACGTCCACAGGAGCTGGTACTTCTGTTCCTGGACATCCGAGAAGTCGTACCTGATGTCGTCCAGCTCTGCGTCCGTCAGTCCGAACACACGACCCAACCTGCGCCAGTCTCGCAGCTCCAGTTTGGAGGCAACCACCTCCAGAACGGAGTCCATCTTTTGGTCTGACAAAAGAAAGACATGTATGTTTACTAACAACATTGTCTCATACAATCCTCTCCCCACTAACTTTTGCTATAGCCACCACAGTGGTATCCAGTGAAGGAGAGGGATGGGTGCTACCTTCCAATATCGTTCTCAATACATGGTGGATTAACAATCCACTACCTCAACAGTCTCAAAAGGACTATGTAACAGTGCTGCTCTTACCTGGGTCCCTATGTGGAGGATAGACCAGCTGTGCCTGGACAGTCTGTGCCCCCTGTGTAGAGGGACAGTCCAGTAGTGTGATCTTAGGGGGAGGAGTCAGCAGCAACAGCCCAGAGAACCTGGAAAAAACAAAGAGACACCTTCACTAAACACTCCTTGAACAATTACTATAAATCATTTGGTTGAATGTTTGTAATGAATGTTTGAAACAACTGACAGTGTAGTAATGCAATGCAAGACACTGCAAAAACGGCTCTCTGCCTCTTTTCTATGAACACAGGTCAGTTGTTTTGAAATTGTGAGATTGTGGTAAGAACAGGATTGTTCAAACAGTGCCTTAAGCTATGCTTCATTGAAGGACTTTCACCTTCGCCTAGACTTGAGAAGACTATAACACACCTGTGTGGGTTGGAGACCCCCTTGCGGAGACAGTGAGCGCAGGTGACATACAGGTGATGTCTGAGGCCCGGCCAGCACTGCAGCACCTGGGACAGGATGTCTGCTACAGGTAACACCACCTGCCACAGGGAGGATGTCCCCTCCACACACGCACGGCTTGCTACTGTGATATGGCTTCCATCTTTGGTGTTGCTTTTCTGCAGGTAAACAGGAGACACATGTTTGTATTGAATTTTGACAAGAAGAAATGTTTCAAGAATACCTGCATTTTAAGTACCCTCAACAATCAAATGTAGCATGTGTAGTGAAGCAGAAATGGATACATTGAAGTCTTGAAGCAATTTCGAAATTAAAACTCTCTTTAAACATTTGTAGTATGTAATTCAGCCTGTGACTGTGAACTTGCTATTAAATCATTCATTCATTCATTCATTAGAAACATGAGCCCTTGTACTTTGTACAATTTACACCAGTTAGTACATTACTGGTAAAACATACAGACACTTCAAATCAGTATTGTTTTCCAGAAAGAAACAACAGCTGCCATATCCATAAACTATATATAATATACATAATATACAGCATGTGTGATCTAGTGACAGCTGCCCTGTTTACATATGATAACACAGGTGTCTCACCTGCAGTATGAGTGACCTGTCTGCCACCTGTGTCAGCACACCTGTCTGCCAGTCCACCCGCTCGGTGCCCAGGTGTCTGTAGGCCGCCACGCGCAGGTGAGAGAAGAGCCCAGGTGGGCAGAAGGGCAGGTGACAGCCCAGCTCCAGCTGGTCCGTGTTGACAGGTGGGAGCGGCACCCAGCGCATGCCGACCTCCGAGGGCAGCGAGTCCCGACAGTACACGGGGAAACAGTGCTGCCAGTCATTGCCTGGGAAATACAGGAACCAGTTTTAGAACTATACATAATTCTACATGTCTTTTGAATAGATTCACTTTATGGTTAGGAACTGGATATATCAGCTGTGCAATGTGAACCAGTTAGAATTTCCCTGAGGCAGGTGACAGATGGTCACCAAAACATTGGCTGAATAAAATGCTTGGTGGTATAAAAATGTTCTGTTTCAAGTACCATATCATGTAAGAATATCAGGGGCAAATTAAAAAGACTGACTGCTGCATCAGAGAGACATGTCTGAGGGCAAACAACCATCTTGTTGTTTATCTTGTTCCACCAATGACCTGACCAGGTCAAAGAACTAGGTAGGTACACGTACATGTAGTAGGTAGGCATCATAGATAGCTTTAAACAACTTTTATAAGTATTGACCCACCACTTATTTACTTACCACTGTTCTTGTGGTTGGAGTTCTGGTCCTTCCTCTGTGGAGTTTTCCTGACAGAGTAGCTCAGCCCCAGTCCTCGCAGCAGCTCCAGGGCGTTGACCTGGTCCTGGGTCGTACGGGTGTACTTGGCGGTCAGGGCACACAGCATGCTGGGAAGAGACATGTAACATAAGCAATGAAATTCATCACAACACACTGATGCATAAAGAAATCAAGTACATTGTGCATAGTCCCACATTTTCCCCTTAAGGAAAAATTACCATAAACATTAAGGTGTCTTTTGCATATCTCAAATCAATGTAACAAGTTGAAGAAGTTCTTTTGTTTTACCTAATGAGGCTTTGGGATGCTTCTGAATGTAACTTAAGTACTGCACTATAGAAAGGTAACATTTGCAAAGCATGTTTACCTTCACCTGGTCTAGCCCAACAAACTACTACACTGCTTATTCTTCCTCAAAGCCTAATACACTGAGTCTCATTCATGTATGGTGATCAGGCTCTCCAACTCTACTCTGCTACATAAAAATGTAACTCAACACCATCCGTTACCATGGTGACAGACATCTGGTCCAGGTCATTGACCTTATGTGTTTAGAAAAGAGAAAACTGAGCAAAACAATATGTTTTCCTTCTGCGAAGGTAACCACCAGTTCCTTCTGCGAAGGTAAACATAACAAGCTTAACGTAATCACCTGTGACTCATGACCCCGTGCTGTAGCAGGTCGCTCCGTGCCTCCAGGTACTGCACCTTGGAGAAGTTCTGGAAGCGAGCGCTCTCCTCCTTCAGCCAGGCCTCCGTGTCGTGGTTCACCAGCGTACAGAGAAACGCCAGCAGCCGGCCGGGGTTGGGCGCAACCTTCTCCTCCCCGTGGTACGGGGTGATCATCACGATAGAACCCACCGCCTGCAGGTGTTCTAACACCTGTGTGGACAGCGTGTGAAGAAAATTTCAATGTGCTAGTGCTGTGTGACAAGATCCAGTCAAACCTGTCTCTTTTGACCAGTTAGGGACTTGAGGAAAACGGTCACAGTAGACAGGTGGTCACTACAGATAGGATTTGTAATGCTTCGGTCCATGGGATAAAGGAAGCAGTTATTGATTTGGGGACACAGTTTACAAGAGAGACAGAAGCTTCTGGGCAACTGCTGTGGTTCAAGTGGCTGAGGAAATTTAGCACTTGACATGACTAATAAACTGGTGGATGTACCAACTACACACTTAGTATCTACTACAAGCTCAGCAAAGATCAAGAAATGGTCATGCTAATGATGATAAGAGTTATCAACTACAGAATTAGGTATTTTTGCCTAGAACTATTGCAGAGTGGAACTCGCTGCCTCCAAGTTCAGTAAAGGCATCATCACTAGACAGCTTTAAACAACTCTTAGAGTTTGATGTGCACAGGCTGAGTGTTACATGTTGTTTGGTGTAATATAGCTAGCTGCAACATGTGCCTGCAAAGCTGGTGTGTTACATCGACAGTACTGACCTGTGGCACCTGGTCAGCAGGTACCCCGGCCTGTACGGCCAGCCGGCCGCAGTCCTCCCTCCTCATCCAGAAGTCTGGCTGCTGCTGCAGGAGCTTCTCCAGCGTCAGCCATGACAGGGGCACAGAGGTCATGCGGGGTCGCGAGGGGAACGCCGTGGAGTTACTGGCTGCCGTCACCAGGCAGGCTCGCAGGTCAGGGATGCCTGACATGGTGGTGGCAGACACGGGGACTACCTCCTCCCAAACCTACAGGACAGGAAACAACAGGGTCATTGTCAGCCAGAGGAGCCAGGAATACATAACTGAACATATGTGTTTTAGATACTTTGCTGGTGATGACTTTTCTATTGTCTTTAAAATGCAACAGATCAAAAGATTTCCACCCAAGATTCATGAAAATCAGCAGAAAGACACTATCTTCTTTTTTTTTTTTTAATGTTCCAAGATACGATTATAAATCTTTGCTATGAAGCAAAACCTCAAAGAATTATGCTGTCAAAGTCAGTATTCACTCAGTAAGAATCATGACATCATAGATGACATCAGCAAGTAATTAATAACATGGATTGATGCTCGGATAACAGGAAAATGGTACAGGATGCTCTTAAGTAAATTAATCCATATTGAATTATTGATGTACATGTACAAAATAGCTTAGAAGTATTTCAGAGAGTCCAACCTGTATTCTTGTCTCCTTCAGTTTCAGTAGATGTTTGAGTCTCCTCTGCAGGGCAGACAGTCCCACTCCACTGAGGGGGTGGACAGGTTCCTTACTGGTGCTCTCCTTGATGGCTAGTGCTCCTGTCAGACAAGAGTTTGATACTACAGCCAAACCTGTACCAGTGATCATATCTGCACAATGTCTACGGTATATATATATATAATAATATACTGTATACATGTAGGCTACAGGGCTCTAGCCAGCAACAGTTTTTCCCGTCAATTATCAGAACTTTGTGGCATGTGACAGAATTTTTTAAACCAATCTGTCAACCTTGACAGACAAAATTAACAAAAATCTTAAGTGAAAATATGAAAACATCTGGCTACCAATCTCAGAAGTTACGACTTTGTGTGAAGGACTGTTTGAGTCGACCCATATATTTTCAAACATAACGCTAATTTTATTTCTACGTAGTGCCTTAAATTACGTTTTTACCTAGCTAAGTCGACGACGCATCTCTTAAATGTTTTTAAATTGTGGAGATTTGAAATCAAGACCGGCACTGACTGTGAAAAATAAGGCTTGAATGAAATTTTACAATGTTAACGTATTAATACTGGTCTTTTTCTTTTATCATGAATTGTACGTCTGTAATAGAATCAGCAATTCAGCCATGTGGCTGCCAGTGATTTTAAATTTGAATAAAACCATTCATTCATTCATTCATACCAACAACCACTCTCAACACCATGATCTGCCTTTCAAAATGTGGGAAATTTCATTTTCTTAAGGCTTGAAAATCCAAAATTTCGGACCCCCAAAGCGCCTTTGGTGCTAAATTTCAAGCTGGCTAGAGCTCTGGTAGGCTAACCTTAATCCTGCTGATTGAGATTTTCCATTAGGTACATTGGACTATCTCACCACTTGCACTAACTGCGTTAATATTATGCAAGGACAACAATATCATGTTATAGGCAAGTAATCTCTATGCCATTTGTGACATGTCTGGTTGCTAACTGAGGATCAGTGGATCAGAGTCATTTTTTTTGACTGTGTTAGAAAATTTCAAGATCCTTCACACTCTCCCGTACCTTGGATCACTTGACATTCTGCCTGGATGTCCTGTATCCTGTCCTGGGCCCACTTCTGTGCCATCTCAGACAGGTCCTTACACTTCCGCGCCACCTTCTTGGCTCGCAGTGCTGCCGTGAACTCGTCTGTGTGTGTCCCCACCATGCACACTGGTGCCCCCGGGACTTTCGCATTCAGGAAGTCCAGCCAGTATTCCACATCTGTTAAGAAAGGAAGTTATCTTCTAAGAGAGTACGCACTAAAATACATGTAAACGTACATGGCAAAGTCGGTCCGCAGCATGGATGTGACAACAATGTTAAATGGAAGTAAAGCTGAGAAAGAGTTGTCATCAATGCAAAATTAAACCATGTTATACTGTTCTACATGTATTTACTGTGTCCAGAATACCCTTTCTGCCCTGTAAATTGCTTCATCAGAATGGTCATAGGAAAATGAGGTTTTTGAGATTTAAGAACTTCATTTTTAACTACATGTACCCTTTTCTTCTTTGACAGAAACAGTAGACTACTTTTAATTTACTTGTTATTACTTGATGCTGAAAGGAAGAAAAGGAAGAACTAGATAATACATTGTATTGAGATGACTTTATAAAACAGAGGATAAGGTTACCTTGTTGAGAACTTTCAGGATCAAGGTCGTACAAGTTGAAGGTCAGCAGGTAGAGGGCGTCAGGAGTAAACATCCAGGAGTGCCATGCCTGGTACACCCCCCTCCCGCTGGTGTCATACAGGGAGAACTCCACGTTATCATCACTGTTCCAGGGCACGATGTCAGCACAGTGGGTCGCCACCACATCTGGGACAACACATAACAACACTGAACTTCACAAATGCCCTGGTTTAATCACTTCTAAAGTTTCACAACATATACTTAATACATAGAGCTACCCAGACATTTGGTCTCATCATTGGACAAAATAAAAATCTTGAACAAAGATCCATACTTTTTTGCGAGAGAAATTGAAGAAGCCATCTATGACAGGGCATTACAACCATCCTTTGACAGAGGGGGGGTGGCACAAACTTACAATCTACCATTTACCGAGTCACAATATCCTATACAAGTGGTGGATTTTCCTTCATATAGAGGAACAATGAAGATATAACTTTATAAGTACATGTACAGGAATCCAATGTCTATGAATGTTATCTAAGACTTAAACTTAATATTACAGTGCACACTGCTCACCATTCTTGTGGTTGCCCCCTATGAGAGCCCTGACCAGGGTCGACTTGCCCCCTCCAGCAGGACCCACCAACACAACCTTCAGTCTGTGGGGAACAGCAGTCGTAGCACTGGCCAGGTCATCCTGAGATGGCACAGAAAACAATGATGAGGGTTAGACATCCACCAGGTAAATGATACTCATAGACTAAGATAATTCAAACTCTACTACAAAATGAACAGATTTCTTACAGATGTTCGTGTGACATCCTTTAGTCTTCTTCACTGTCACTAATCTTCTAGTGATGCTGAAGAAAATGTGGAACGTCCTGAAGCAATCTCCATATCTTATCCAGCAGCAGAATTTGAGTTATCTACAAGCAGACTACCTATTAGTATTATTAGTATTAAACAGTAATTAGTATTAAACTGAGGTCTTGCCTAACTACATTGTGTATCTGGCACTTGAATATACAGTACAACGTCTGTACAACACAAAGATTGTTGACATGTATTTTACCTGGTACCTCCTGATGGCCTCTATGCCCATCGCACACACAGAGGGGGGCGGCTGTACCAGGGGGTTGTTACTGACGTGCAGGGTTGCCAGGTGAGGCAGGGTGCCGACGCCCAGTGGTAGGGCACCCAGCTGGTTGTTCTGTACATCCAACTCCTCCAGCTGACTCAGGTGTAGGATGGAGTCTGGCAGGGTCTGGATACGGTTACTGTATACAGGCATAAAGGTGGGTAAATATAGATAAAAACAGCTTTTCTCAATGCAAAATTAACAACAACAAAGTATAGCAAGAAAATGGGAATGGGCAATAAACCTTAGCCATACTCAGTGTGATGTAATGTCTCCAAATTATACATCCTGGTATTACTGGTAACTCCTGAGGGAAGAAATCTTGGGGTAAACTAAATGTTGTCCTTTCGATTTAAGTTCTCTCTTCTGTTCTTTTGTGATTAACATTCATTTTTTTAAATCATAGACCATTGTTTCTTGATTTTATGTTTCAATTTTGTTGTTACACATGCATATGACAAACTTTGTATTTGTGCTATATGGTTTTCTTTATGTAGAATGTATTACAATGTATGAAGAGTTATAAAAAAACAGAGAGAGAGGGAAACCTGCCTGTTGAGTCGGAGGGTTTTGAGCCCTGACATCTGTCCCAGGTTGTCAGTCAGGTCTGACAGGCGGTTGTGGTTCAACAGAAGCTCTTCAAGTCCACTCAGCTGGGAACACATTTATTGACAATATTTGTTCACATGTTCTTGCCCACATGGGCTAAATGCAGCTGTTATACTAAATTGCACTAGTATTACATCAAAGACTAAAGGCAAAGTAAAATATCACTTACCTGTAGTGTTAACAGATATACATAGTGAAAAAGGGGACAAAACAGTTTTAACTGTTTTCTCCCCTTTTTCACTATGTATATCTGTTAACACTACAGGTAAGTGATAAATCTATGCTCTTACTAAATCTATCATACAGTACAATAGATCCATTGTTTACAAAACAGGTAAACATATTACGTTACCACTGAATCTACCATTTACATGTTTCATATCCGAGATATGTCCCAAGAGGGCACAGTCAAACACAGCAAGAAGATACAGCATTCCATGACTCATGCTCCCTCTAATGGTGTGCTTATGGTTACATAAAGGGAATGCTTGATGACTACAGTAAAAGTGCCAAAAAGGACCACACAATGTATTTGTGGATAGGTGGTCACTATGGTCATGATTGTTAGTTATTGTTAATACTTGTGTATGGGGAAAGATTATCTAAGGAATGGCACCAAAAAGTTATACTAGACTAAATATTAGTAACATTGGCCAGGTGGTCCTCATGTAGAGGTGGTCACTTGTACAAGTTTGACTATATTATAGACTGGGTTACCTGTAGAACCTGTACAGGGAAGGCTGTCAGGACATTACTGTCAGCACACAGGCGTTTCAGCTTGGTCAGCTTACTGATGCCTTCTGGCAGGTAGCTGAGGTTGTTTCCTCCTACATTCAACTCTTCCAGAGACGACAGCTGAGAAGGAGAAAAATTTTTTCCAATTTTTTTGCAAAAACCATAATATTAATGGCCCTTGGCTACATTGAATTACATATGACTAGAACACCTATGATTGTTGGAAAAGCAGAAATATGCTCCAACTGACTATTCAGTCTACAAACTAGTACGTAGACTAGTATTATGTATAAACTTCTAAAACATATTTTGAACAGCCGACTGCTGCCCACCCCTGGGACAGGGAAACCGACAGCAGTATAATCTAAACACAGATAGTGAGTGAGTGAGTGTATGATTACTCTGTGAACTATTACCTAGCAAAGCAATACGAATAGAAATAAAGAAATAAAATTGTAAGATAGCAGACTGATATACAATTGACTGATTTTTGACATCACACACCTGCCCAAATCACATGACTTCAGCAGGGGCAGAGGGTAAGCACTTTGCTCTTGTGTATGCATGTTTCAAATCTGTAGAATCTCATTTATCTCCACTGATGACCTTTCATTTAAATACAGCTGCATTTTTACCTGGCTGATGTCCTCAGGTAGAGCGGTCAGTTTGTTCATGTCCAGAACCAGTCTCCGCAGCAAGCCGAGCTGGGTTACTTCATCTGGCAGGTTGGTCAGTCTGTAAAAAAACAAGAAAACTTTCCTTCAAGACAGCAGTCAATTCCTAGAGAAAGTAGGAGCTAGATATTGAATTAGTGGAATGTGTGACTAATCAGTAATGTCTTTTGTATTATCTCACTGTTGTCATGTAACAAAGAACGAGACAAAATGTTATTGTCACTATGTCAAATGAATTAGCTGCACTGTGCAAATAACCATTCAAATGCAAAGACATCTCCAAATGGATCAGTCACTCTGCAGATAATTGCTATGTCTAAGAGAGCCCCCAGGTAAAATCAGGAATTAGCATACACTCCAGGTAACAATACTTGGCACCTCTGCACACAAACAGCCACATTCTGTGTAGGATTTAGATAATGACTTGAGGCATGCCTGGATGGTTGGGAACAATTTGACAACACCTGGACGATACAGTTAGGACTTTTCAGTGGGCTTTGTCATCAAAGAAACATTTAAATTTTTCTATTTCAACAATTATATTGGGGACATATATTTATTTCACATCTTTCTTAAAAATTCGTATGAATTCAATGAAGCATAAAAAATTTACTTTTATTTTTTCCTGGACTGACTGAAACACCTTCTGGGACATTCTTTGTTATTTTTTTTAACCTGGGAACATCAGTCTTTTAGCAACTCTGGAACAAAGACAGAAGTATGTAACCAGGCGTGCCTCCTGGTCCTACTAATAAATGGCCCTCAGCTGTTGACAACAGGCGTCCCATGGGGAGGGGGGCATGAGAGGACAAGTGTCTACACAAAAGGGTTTCCTCGTCAAAGCAAAATCGGCCCAGAACCACATGACATGCCGCATGTGGTCCGGACCCATTGTGATCCTTCCTACTTATCCCCCGAAAAGATCAACAATTACATATGCGGTCAGGAATGCTGACTGATCGGGAGCCAATACCTCAAATTAATTTGTAAACACAGGTTAACGGTAAGGGTAACGTCACCTGTTACAGGATAAGTTCAGGCACGCCAGCATTGACATCTGGTGAACTTGTGGCGGAACTTGAGCCAGGATGTTGTGAGCGGCGTTCAGCTCTACAAGGGCCGAGAGTTGGCTGGTGCTAGCCGGAAACGACTCTAATCTGTTCCGAGAAACGTCCAGGACGACCAGCTCGGTGATGTCCCCCAGATCCGGGGGGAGCGCGGCGAGGTACTGCCCCCGACAAGTCCAGGCTCCATCGCCCCGACCCCGCGCCGTCCGACTCCCGCAGGCGGGACCGTAAAGTTCCTCGAGCGGGCGGTTCTTCCGCCATCACTACCGCTCCATGTTTGCTGGTAATCAGATCAAACGGGAAGACTGCAACCCCGCCGAAATTTGAACAAACTTGACGGATATTTCCTGTGTGCAAAACAAACTCGTCCACTTCCGACTTAGCAAGAACACACAGGGGGCCTAATTGGGCGTCGTCTGTCAGTGGGTAGTCCGGCACACAAAAAATGCAGTGCCTGTTCATATTCCCCCCAAAGCACAAGCGAAACCGAAAATTCTACTGGGTGTATCTAACGTTACATGTAAATGTTGACGTCAGTAACGCTAACGCAACGTTTGACCCACTGGGTCCTTCTTGCTGGCTGATAGGTTGCTATGCATTTTCCCACTTGCACCTGGCCAACTTTCTACTGGCTCCTGGCCAATTGCTGGGACCTAACTTACCTGTGCCTGACCCTTTTTATGGTCTATGGCTAGGGAATTCCCCCACCAACGTGCTGTCACTCAACTCATACTATGGACACACAAGCAAACACACACGAATGCACACACACAGGCATGCACATGCACACACAGACACATATTTAATACTGTAAGAGGAAATATAAATGCCTATCCATGGTCACCACACAGAAAGTCTGTGTTTATTTAAGTACTTGTAAATAATATTTTACAATAAGTGAATAAGCAACATTTGCTGTTAAATTATCTGCTTGGACCAAGTGACAAGTCTTAAGTCTTAAACAATTCTTGAGTCATGCATTGGAACAACAGTATCTATGCAATAAGTCACAGGCATTACTGTTGAATCTTACAGGTGGTACAGAAGAATTCCTGAGACATAGAAGAAAAATGGATCTTGACATATGAAGGTTCTCATAATATTTGTATGACATATCTTGGTGACTGGACTCATAAGCATCATTAAGCCATCAAGGACTTGTAGAAAATGTGCTATATATCTTCACAAAATGGTCTTGAAATTTGGAGGGCACTTTATTATATAGACAAGTATCAGTTGTAGACGTAAATGTACATTGTACTCCATCTTTTTACTAAAGAAGTAAAATTTCTAACAATATGTTGCCCAGATTTTAACATATCAACCATATTTCTCTTTGACAGATACAAGTATTTATTATGAATCACCAAAATCAACATAAGTTTAACACTATCATTAGAGCTGATTCTGACTTGCAATGTATTCTCTAATATGCTGTCCGTCCATCAATTTTTCTCTGTACTATTTGTATAAAATATCTTTTTTAACCACAATCTGATTTCCAAGTCAAACCGAACAAAGATACTCAATGACGCTCTCAATGACCAAAGAAAAAAGTGCATGAACCAAGTGCATGAACAAATGTATCCTTGAACCACAATGACTCACTAACTTTACAATCAAGTTGTAGTTTCTCATAACTTAGGCCGAGTTAAAGTATATTGATGTAATTGATATTTATACATGTATGTTCCATATAATGGCAAAATCTACAATAGGTCCTGTATGGGAATGTTTTTACGAATGGCATTGGAGACTCCTTCGTTGAACTTGTAGTAGACAGTGCCCATTCCTTCCCTACTGACTTTCTGACTAGAGCTTGAGTTACTGCTTGAAGCATCTGGAATCAAAGTAAACAAGTCTTTAAGTGTTAGGTCAAGGAAAGACAAAATTCAAATACCTTGAGGAATACAGATTATCATAGGCAGGTAGTTTTGAAACATCTCTGATTTTATCTTCACTTTTTAGTCGCCTGTATATGATAATGGATATGTTAATCATAATTTCTTCAGGTGATACTACGGCACATGCCACTGATTTCATAAATGAACATATTGTATTCAAATACTATTCTTACATATTCACCTTTATTCCTCTCAGGGGTTTTCTTCTTTATCACTCGACCAAAGAAATCCACCGCAGGCTGGAAAGACAGATGCAAGATTGTACATGGTTTAGTATAAACTTATTTACTTTTCTAACATATTCCCAAAAGATACCTTCAACCCAGATGTATCTTTGTTACATGTATATGCCCGTCTCATTCTAAACAACACCAATTATCATTTCCATATCATTGAAAAATAAAACAAAATTAAACTGTAGGCTGAGGAGGACACCTTACCTTCTCCTCCGCTACAGTGATTTTCTTAGGTTGCAGCTTGGCCAGGTGGTTGGGCACGGCTCCTTCAGCTGTACCATCTGACTTCTGCCCTGTCTCCTGAGTCTTCTCTTCAGGTGTTGGAACGTTCCTGCATGATCCAAGGTATCAGAAACAACTGTGACTCACATGAGAACAATTTTCTTTAAAATTCATAATTCATGGTCTTGTGGTAAGGGTTATTGACTTAGATTCTGAAGCTTCTACGTTTGAATCCCTTAAGCAGGCCCAATGTTGTATCCTTGGGAAAGGTACTTTACACCTATATCCCCACCTACATGTGGCTGATGAGTTAGGGACATCTTGATTGGGGCACGAAGTAGAGGTCCCAAGTTTCAAGATCCAACTGCACTTGAGCAAGCCTAGGGTCAATCCTAGTGTGTTTGGATCAAACCTTACAGTTTGATTATACTCAGTATGTACCTACTGTACAAAATTGGTATGTTATGTCTACTAAAGGCAGTTAATTGGTTATGAAAAACAAACAAACAAACAAACATTTTCTTGATTTTGTCAGAAGCAAAACTCACCTGTTCCTACTCATCAGCAGGGCCTCACTCCGTCTCATCTTCTCCACCTCAATCTGGACACAGAAAGAAAATCCACAAGGTTACAAAACTGAAAACTGTCAAGAGCAGTCAAATAAAAATGTAGTTGTAGTTAGTACTAGTTTATTGCTATTCTAATATCACCTGTCTTTAACAGTGTCTTTTGGAAACTGTTAACTTTATACTTATATCTTCCCTGTAAATTGCACTTTTATTCTGGGTTTTTCAACTTCAATGTTGGTAAAAGATTCTTTCTTTCTGTGCATGCAAGCAAAACACCAAACCACCCACCTCCTTTGCTATGAGTTGCTTGGCTGCATATGTCAGCTGTTTCTTGGGTGGTTGATCACTGAAGCGTGTAGCCTCTTCCATGTTCCTACAGTGTTAAGACAATGGATCAGCAAAGGAAGATTTCACCTCCTTGGTTACACTGGTTGACTAAGACAGAACAGACAGATGTCTCTCATATAACTAAATGGGGTCGTGTGGTGTAACGACAGAGCATGCAGCTCAGAACCAACAGTCCCCAGGTTCGAATCCTGCCATGTAACCATCTTGTGCCATTAGGAAAAGCGACTTTCCTCACTTTACTCAGGTGACAATGAGTATGGCTAAATGATCATTATCATGATCGTGGGCATTAAAAGAAGAGGAAAAGATAGATTAAGATGTGGACTATTTGACCAATACAAAGACCTGCATCAAAACCTCAGCAGCAAATTTAAAATATATGTAACTTAAAATAAGGACATTTTCCTATAGATATCAGGGCAAAAACACATATACATGTAACAGTTTTGACAACATCACAACAGTACTCACGGTTCTAACAGGTACTGGTACTGTCCCTCTGGGCTTCTCTCCTGCTGGTATGTCAGGTTGTAGGCGATCATGGTGTGGATCAGGTCTGACATCTGTTGTTTCTCCTTCGCACTGAACAGTTGAGAGTTCACCTGTCACACGAGGGAGAGGAACATCAAGTGTTAGTATGTGTATGTTTTCTTTTGATTTGACATATGAAGTCTATAACTGCTCTTCCAAATAACACACCAGTTTTACAGACATGTGGCACGTGGCACGTATTACACTGAGCGACCTGTTATACCTAACCTTTTCACATCTAACTGTAAGTCAATTGTCTAAAGCTATCTAGTAATGATGTCCCTACTACTGTACTTGGTGACAGTGAGTTCCACTCTGTGTTTGTTCTAGGAAAAAACAAACTTTTGAACACTCCATTGATTGGCAACTCTGATAGTTGAAGGCATGACTATTTCTTGTTCTTTTCTCCAGAATGACTTCAGCACCAAGGACAGGTATGGACATGTTACCATGACTTCAGCACCAGGGACAGGTATGCCCATGTTAGATAATACATGTACATACTTAGTGGCTAGCAAATCCACCTGTTTATTAGCCATTTCGTACATTAAGGCCACACCAATTTAATTTGTTGGTTCTCGGATTTTTTCAGAAAAAATATGAAGCGACGGGGCGAAAAAAAATAAAAATAAAAACAGGTCTAGGCATCCTATTATAGGCTTAAATGCTATGGAATGAGCCATGAAGTCAACACAAAAGGCTGGGTTAAAATTTAAACATTGAATTTTGAACTTTTAATCAAACCACTGCAATGATAGATGGGAAAACTGTAACAACTAGGAAGAAAAGGACTTTCCTCAACTGTTGGGGGCAAAACATGAGCATTTTTCAGTTGATTCAGGACCAGAATCAAATTTTTTATTTTTGCAAATCAGAAAAAAAAGAAGAGGCGAATCCGAGAACCAACAAATTAAATTGGTGTGGCCTAAGCATAGTCTGGTCTGGTCTTTTGTCTAAGGTAGCAGTTTAATGCTCTACACTTAGCCTTACAGGTCTGAAGCTGGGCTGAATGATGTCCAGCAGTGCAGGGAGGAGCTCCAGTAGGAAGGCAGACTGGGACACACGGCTCCTGATGACGGCAGACATCTCACCCTGCTGGGCTGCACGGAGACTCTGGGTCTCCGTCATCTTCTGATGGCACTGGGGAGACAAAGATAATGAAAGTTTATTGCAAATACATGTCCAAGGGCTAATTGCAAATACAAGCAATATGTAAGAAAGGGAAGGTATAATGATATGAGAGTCTACGTGATACTACATTCTACAACATACATGTACGAGTCACTAATTTAGTTGGGTTTGACTTTTCAGGCAGTGGGAGACGAATTTACCCATTTCGTCTATAATATGTGGGTTCTGTGACAAAAAAGACAGGATTAACCTGTAGTAACGTCTGAGATGCTAATGCAACATGTACATGTGCATAACCAGAAGGATATTCAATCTCTCAGAAAAGGATGATTTTAGGCTTTGAAATTCTTTTTACTTCACTGAGAGTTTGTAGGTTGATGGCTGTTTTATAGAAGTTGTAGAAGTAATTTTTTTCAGAGCATATCTCCCAACCTCAAAACAAATGCAAAATGAGTTGTAAAGTGTAGAGGTACTGATCAGAATTAAAAAGAAGAAATAGAAGCAACATTGATACCTCATATTGACTGCTAGGGTAGGACAACTTGGGCGCCGTTGACCCAGCAAACAGCATGTGGAAGGCCACAAACGTGTAGGGGATGTAACGCATCAGGATGAAGGTCTGGATGTGGCTGATGATGTTGTTGACAAGGTCATAGAAGCCCAGCCAATCACAGCCCATGGTGACGGCATCCAGGTACGTGTCCTTAAACTTGGCCTCCAGGTAGTTCTCAAAGAGACCTGCAGAATGATGACAGAATAGTATCTAAAGATGAACACTTCAAGTTGCAAGGAAGTGTCTTCATAATAGTTTATTATCAATATCAGGACTGCAGGACATTACTGATACTTCACACACACTGAAATAATGATGTTCATTTTGAAGTTTGTCCCTAACTGCGGTCAGTGGAATCCAAAGTTAAGAGTAAAGCTCGACAAGTTTATCAGATTAGGCCACACCAATTTAATTTCTTGGTTCAGGGATTTGCCTGCTTCATTTTTTTCTGATTTGCAAAAAAAAACAAACCTTTTACCCACTCCGAAATGCTCATATTTTGTCCCCAATAGTTGAAGGAAGTCCCTTCTCTTCAGGGTTGTTACAGTTTTTTCCATCTATCAATGCAGTGGTTTGATTAAAAGTTTGAAATTCATTGCTTCATATTTTCTCTGAAAACATCCGAGAGTTAAGGAGTTTGGAATGACAACTTGTTGGTTGACCTTGACCTACCTTGGCAGGTTTTCTCGTACTCCCCGTTGCCTGAGGTGAGGTGTAAGATGTGCTGGAAGCGGCCGGCAGGTGTGTGCGGCTGTGTGACAGACACGTCCTCACCTGCCCTCTGCTGCCCCGCCGCTACGTCATGAGGGTTATTCCACCTCTTCCTGGGGGAAAACAAAGTAGCATGGCATTTGCCATATGAGGAATAATAAAAACCGGCAATGGACATAAAAAAGGTGAATGACATTTTCTTCAGGGAAAACCTCACGTCTTTCTTCAGTTAATTGATAACGTGTAATCTGGTGCATAATCAAAGTGCATTTTCTTGAAATTGAAACATGAAAGAAGGATGTGGAAGCCACATTGCACTTCTTCGCTCACTCACATTCGCTCACTATCTGAGGCTTTGATAATACTGTTGCAGGGGGTCCCTGACACAGGGTAGGTTGCATTTGGCTAGACTTCACAATGCACATCCAAGCAGCTTTGTCCAGCAGATTTACACGGGCAAGGCCGCGCACTCTCCAATGTCCTTCCTGACACACTCGATCAGGGTCTTCATAGGTCTACCCTGACCCTGACTTGCTGTCAGAAAAATTATTAAATTCTATGTTTCATCCCAAGCGTTATGCCTTGAGCTGGAGCAGATTTGCAAACCTTTTCTGTCTGGGGACCTGGAAGATCTGCTGCCACACGGTGAACAGTCCCTTCTGCTGGTCCTTCTGTCCCACTGCCATGGAGCGGACGTCAGACAGAGACAGGTCCGTGCCACGGCTGTGCACAAACTGCAGGGGACACAGAAATATTACCTAGACCGTTTTTTTTTTCCTTGCTTCTGATTTACAGATTTACCCAAGGTGGCCCATCTCAGCACCATAGCACTGCTTTACAGTGGGCCCCTGAAAAACATACTACAATGTACATTTGTACATTACATATATCATGTACAGTCAAACCTGTACTAGCGGTCACCTTTGTATAGTGGTCACTCGGCCATAGCGGTCAGTTTTTGCCGGTCCCTTGAATTTTTCCCATTGACGTAAGCATTTAGAATCGTGTCTATAGCGGTCACTGTTCAACGCGGTCAGCGGTCACCCCATTCCGGTCCCGCCGGCATGTCAACACCGCCGATAGCGGTCGCGGCTGGCCGTAACCCGCTAAGCACCACGGCCGTAACACCACCCCACCTCGGGCTACGACCGTTATAATTTTCCGATCGCTACATCACTAAAATGTGAACTGAAAATTAGACTCCATATGTGTATGAAATAAAGGAAAACTGGCTTTTGACACGAATTTTCTGCGGTCGCGGGTGTCTTTGATATCTGCGTTTTCCCCAACACCAGTGCCGTGCGTGCCGCATGGAGCTTTCAATGGACTCGGCCGCTCGGCGAAGATTACGGCAATTATCTTTACAAAAAAAATTAAGAATATCCATATTTGGTTTCTCGATTCCTTGAAATGCGTAGATATGTGCATAGCTTCCGTTTTTCATGGGCATAATTCAAGAAATTTGGCTCGAAAAATGCGTTTTGTATTTTTCCAAGATGGCGCATGTTCGCTGCAGAGGGAGGTCAATTGGGGTCATAGGAAGACTCCACTGTTATGGAGGTAGATACACCGAGTTTTATTTAACTTTATTAGCGTCAAATGATGTAATTACATTATGAAAACATTTCAAATACATTACTACAAGTAATTTTAGATGTAAATTTAAAACTGTAGTGGATATTTTAGAAAAGATATAAGTCTGAAAGGAGAAAATTTTCTGTTGACTACCACATTGGCATAATGGTAAAGGCAGACAACCCACGCGGGGAGAAACCCAAGCCGTAAACAAAGGAGAGTTTTCGCTACGTTTTCATGTTCAAAAACGACCAAAAACGGAAAGTAACTGGCAACTGACGAACAATTATTTTGCTGTTAACTAAATAGACAGTATCTTGGTACAAAATAACTTATTTACGTGGTTGGAATTCGCTGTGGCGTATGTCGGTCGCGCGAAGCAAGTGTTCACCAAAGAACAAAAACATGGCGATGTCGTTCTCTTCCACTTTTCGACTAACAACAACAACTAGTACTAGTAACGTGGCGATTGCGGAGAAACGATGGCAAACGCGGAGAGACAGACGCCGAACTTATTCCAAAAGGTGGAAGTGATCGGACTGGCAGAGAGAGTGTGGAGAAATCGTCGAAAGCTGAGCTTAGATTAAATGATTTTGCAGTCGATAGAAATTTGTTTGGAGTTGAAAGTTTGTTGCTTGATTTGCTTTCTTTTCTTTAGCCACATGTAGTACTAGTATGTACACATGAACAGTAAATGACAACCAGTGATTTTGTTTTAATGTGAATGGTTTCATTGTCCCGGAATAGATGAACTGAATATGTTGAGTGTATGTATCTTTGATGTCAAGTTAATGTTTTCCATGCAAATTATATTTCTG